AAGATGTCTACAACCAGTACCATATAGGTATAATGTTTGTGTTATAATAATAATGTTATTTGTTTACCATACTCCATAATTTTTGATATCGAAGTTGTTCAATTATACATCCCCCAACCCACCCATATACCCACCACCGACGAGAGCACATGCAATTGCACTCCTTGGTAACCTGTATGGGCGCCATTGAGTCCTTTAAATAAATGGATTTCATTTTTAAAAAGAAAAATATATAGGCCTATTTATCAAAGTTATACGCCATATGGATGGTTATTGTAATAATACTATTCTTTATATATTAAACTAATGGTTGTGTATAGAAAAATATCGATCTCGTACAATTTTAATCTTTGTTTTTTTTTGAGTTTTACTCGTCAATAAAACATGCAAGATAGTTCAACTTTCATTTTTACTCACACTGACTCTTTTAACACTTATCAAAATGTTTTCAAAACGGTTTGAATAAAATATTACTTTAAGTTTAAGACTGTGGTAAACCTGAGTTATTTTACGTTCAAAGTCGTTCGACTTTAATAATTAAAAAATTAAGTGGTAATTTACACGTTTTAATACTTTAATGTTTATGACTTTAAAAACGAGATGTATTCTTAGCAGATACTCATAAAACAATAACCTTTTTTTCTCCTTATTTTTTCGTATTCTAAATGTACTTACCGACGCGTGTTATTTAACTTATTTAAAATGGACTCGTAAATCGATTAAATTTTTTGAACTAAATACGTCAAAAATAAAAAAATAAAATATATATATATTTATTTAAAATGATATGCGTAAGCCCGAAACAAAAGAAATGAACGTCGAAAAGCAATTTTTTCCCGCCCGAATTCCACTTCATCACGTGTATGTGTTTTCGGAGGAAAAAATTAGAAAAAAAAAATAGCTAAAAGAATAAAATATCACTTTTGGGAGTATTCTAACTTGCTCGCATGTTTTATGATAATAAATAACCAACATGAAAGTATCACGCCGGACGTACTCACGTAAAAGTTCTTACTTAAATACATATTTATTGGAGCAGCAACGGTTATCAGTGACATGGTTGGATTTAAAGTGAAGAGATCACGGTCATTGAATGTTTTTGATTTCTGACATTTGGTAATAATAATGTCATTAAAAATACGAAACAAAAATAACTACTCGATGAACTCATGATCGACTGGAACACTCAACTGCAAAAACTCGTACTACTCCGAATAAACAAAACGTATCATATAAGAACTGTAACTAAAGAATAACAATATTTTAAAATACCTTAAGCTGATACAATCATTATCGCTATTATTTGTTAACATATCTGTACCGGCTAATGTCATACTATTAATGAGAATAATTTTTATTTAAATTTATTTTTATTTTTTATTTAGAACTTTTATCTTAAACAATTAAAGAGTATGACTGTAATATATTTTCATTAAAAAAAAAAAAAAAAAAAAAAGTCATCTGCATATAAATATAATGCATATTTTATTACATTAATCACGCAAGTAGTCATCGAGACTTAAATAAGATTAAAAATAGCTTTATAGCTAAAAAAAAGTTACTGTGAATTCTGCTTGATTTATGTCACTATAATACAGTACGTATAATAACATCGTTCAGGACTCGTGAACTGATGACAAAAAATCTATTTTTCCAAAATTCCAAAATTGTATAAGAATAAAACTATCAATGAAAAAAAAATCCTGAACATTAAATAGCATGTTTTAATTATTTTTGTAAGTACACAAGACACGGTATTTGTAAATGAAACAAGAAATACAAATTAAGATATTAAAGAAAATTCTCTGTTTATGGAATCTTTTTATTTTAGTTACAATGGAAATGTACACTTTTTGACCTGTGAGTACTTAAGAAATAACATTTATCCTAGCGGTTATGTTTTCTTTTTGCGTGAAGTTTTTATGTTTAAAGTTAATGTTTCTGTTTAAGGTTAAATAAACACCATAAAATCAAATTTGATAAAACAGCATACTATTATTATAATTATTTTAATATTTACCGTCAATCTGTAATTGTTTTAGTTAGATGAGGTTAACATTTTTATCGCGTAACTTCTTTTTCCATTATTTCCAATGGTAAAGATAAAAACTTCTTACATTTTCACAAAAAACACGAGAATGATTATCCTCTAAAGTATACTTGTAGATTTTATCAATTTTATCGTTTTCATTGTTTTGTGTTTAAAGTATTTATAACAATTTTGTGTACGCAATAATTAACTACCGAATGATCGCGCCTAGTTATCGCAAATGGTAACGAAAAATAAGAAAAAAATAACGATATTAAAACCAAAAACGATTGAAGACGACTTACGTTTTATGTGATTTTTACAAAGCAATAATTATAAATGCGATAAAAAAACAATAATAGACCTTAATAATTTTTTGCTTTAATGATGCCACTGAAATTTGTTAATTAGATGGGTTTGTAATAATAAATTATAAACAAGTTTTACGTTTGTATGCATGTACTGGATTTCCAGAATTCTATTGGCTAACTAAAAGTTAAAACTTTGATAAAGTGACATACCCCAATGAAATTCTATATTATAATAATAATAGAACGAAAATACTATACGGGCTTTCACTATAGGCAGTGACTCCGCAGTCAATGAGGCTTTTGTATACGAATTCTGTCTACGAAAATCAATCAACAAATATTTGATTTTGTTGTTCTTATTTTTTTTATTTTTTTCTAAAAAAATTATTAAACTCAAAAAATCAGATCGGAAATCCTTAGGCAGTAGATGGGAACATTACAAAAAAAAATAAAATAATAAATAACAATAAACATAAAGCATAAAAGGATCGAGTGGAAAAAATGTCTGTCGTAGTGATAAAATATAATATGATCCTGAAATCAAAGAAATTACTATCGCACGTAGCGTGCACTAAAGAGCTTTCATTCAATATTTTTGCTTTAATCTAAAAGCTTATCTACGGACTATGGATGATAGTAATATTGTATTGCGATCGCACGCTGCTAGTAATATTAACAGTATTAGGCCGGAGACGTATACGGTAGACGTTTTATCTGCGTCGATAAACAATAGACGTCCCGAACACTATGTCGACCAGTCGGGTAGAAAATATCTACGAAGCTATTGTTAAAGGATGGGAGCTTTTGAATAAAACTATGACTCCGCAGCTAGGGATAGCATGGCCCAATACTTAATTGAAGGCACAATATGTGGAAAATGAATGCCGGGTTAGAGTGTTCGCAGAAAGAATCAAGAGTAGCAACACTTATACGTATATATTGTTATCCTCTTAGTTTCATTTTATCGTACATGCTGTGGTTCAATTTATTTTCCATCGGTGTACACAAAACTGTTGCATAGCGGTCGATTGACTTTTAAAATTCGACATAATTTCATAATAATAATGGTTATATAAAAGCATAGAATACGAGGATCGTATAGTAATACTGTTAATACAAAGATAAATTACTTAAAAAATAATTGTTGTCTCTTTCAACTGTTTCAAGACCGATCGTGCAGTTGAGTATATCGCATTCCTTTGTACACATAGGTCGTTCTTTTATTACATCAAAATAATATTTGGACAGAAAATTAAACAATGAGACTCGTACAATACACTATGAACAATGTATAATATTCATACTCGTGATCGCTAAATTTTACTGAAAAACAGTTGTTTATATGCTAAGCCGTTGTAGATTAAGATTTCTCGCTTATTTAAGTCACCGCCTTAGTAAAATTCAAGTATGCCACATATACAAGAAGATATAATAAGATTATAAATTAATGGTAAGATTAGTATATACTAAAATAATTCGTACATTTTGATTGGTCGGTTTTGATAATTAAAAAAAAAAAAATCAGATCGATACTTGCATACCACACATTTAGTTGACCAAGCAATTGATTTTTACTATTGATGGATATGATAGCAAGTCAAACGCAATGATTACGAGTGAAGAATTTTGACTTTTAAATGAATATTTTTTTTAAAAAAAATCCATCATTAAAATATTAATGATTTATTTAACATGTACAGTAATTTAGTGTACATACAATGATCCATGCTAGTATAAAATGTCCACATGCAGTCTAAATAATATTTTTTTTTATAGTCTGTTGCTTTGGATTACTAAAAAAAAAAAAAAAAGTTCCATAATTGTATAATATATTTGTATAATTGTCTCCGTGAATATGAAAAATATCTCAATTAGTAAATCCTCATAGGATACCCAGTGTTCGTGTACTTTAATATTATATTATGCTTTGTAGAAAGTTAGAAAATGTTTGTGTCACCTAATAACAAAAACGTGTTCCATAATTTATATTACAATTCCAAAATAAGATTGATTTTAGATAACGGAAAAAGGTTAAGATATGATTTCAAACGAGCTTATGTTTAATAAACATTAAACGTAATAATAATAATATTAAGTACATCGAGTTAAAACAGAGTGGTTTGAATTCATCAGAAAACTAGATAAGATAATATTATCAAAAAATTACAATGTTATTTACATTGTTTTTCGGTAAATTAAAAAAATAATGAGGTCAACGGAAACAAAATTTCAAACGTCAACATTTTCAGAAGATTTAAATCTAGGATAGCTGTCTTAAAACTTTTAGAAAATAACGAACTAGTAGTAATATATGTTTTTTTTTTTTTAAATTTCTAACTAACACTTAAAAATGCAATTAAAATATGAGTACAATAATCCTCGTGTGTCGTATTAAAAAAGGAAAATTCGACCATTTTCATTGCACCATCATAGGAGGTTAGTAGGAAACTCTGAGATCACGTTCGATTTAATTATCATCACGTCACCCACCTGCGCATGGATAATTTTACGTTTAATAATAAGATTTCTATTTGCGTAGGAATGAATAATCACGTGCACATTTCTGGCGTGAGAACATATAATTTATTTTGCTTACAAAAAGTGGCATGCTTACGTCCGCCCGAGTAAACGGCGTCTGAGGTTACCTATTTTGTTTTTAGCAGCGGGACCACCGTGGCCGGAACGCGGAGCTGGATGCTACTGTCCGCACAGTGTTAACCGCTCGCCACGGCGGCGGCGGCGGCGAGTAAGACACACGCGACACACCGGCCGGCCGCTCGTCGCCATTATGCCGGCCGTGGCACGCGTGGCCGTGGTGCTGTGGCTGCTGTGTGCGGCCGCGGCGCAGTGCACCGGCATCGGTATCCGGCATGGCCGGTCAAGAAACGCCAGGAATCTGCGGCCCAACGGTCAGTCGCCGGCCAAGCTGACGTCCGCGGGTGACGGTGGTGGTGGTGGCGGCGTCGGTGGTGGTGGGTTGGACAACGACATTGTCAACCGGTTGCTGCGGATCGTCGAGTCGCAACAGCAGCTGGGCAACAACTGCACGGCCGGCACGCACCTGAACCTCGGCGAGGGTGTCGTCGACAGATACGCGCAGGTCGGTGATGCACATATGATCGTTTCACGTTGCGTTTATTTCTTCTGCGATTTCCCATCCCCTCCGTCTCATAATATTCCCTCTCCGTCCAACCAAGTGATCGGGTTTGATTCGTGAGTGTGTATGAGAGATAGAGATAGAGTAGGGTAATATAATTATCTCCAAAAATTCGGAGAGAAAGGGGTTGGGAAAACAGTCGTACTAGTTCATCGATATTGCGTTGCATGCGAAGACCTTAGCAGTCATATCAAACTTCAAAATGCAACCGGTATCGTTTCGCTTGGCCGACAAAAATTGAAGAAAAATTAATGTCGTTTTCGAACAACACCCGATACGCTCGGAACCATGTAACGCTATCCATATTTTTAAGTTTTTACATTTTAAACAAATGTAAAAGTATTGATATGGATACCGTCGAATACAGCTTACATACGAATTATAGGTGATCACCTTGTAAAGATTCCTTTAATCTATCTTTTAGGTGGTAAGAGGGTGTGTCATCTCTGTTTGTACGTAAGTTTAATTTTTTACCGACGAATCGGCAGTACTCGTGTGTAATCAGTAGTTTTGGAAATCATTATCACACGATAGAAAAATAGAAATATTTTCGTCGCACTTTTCTGTTGATCCCGGTCAGCTGCAATGCAGCCACCTTTCGCTATTGAGCTTTGTACTTATTTGTTTATTCTCGAATTTGAACAAAACGTTCAAATTAACCTAACCGTATATTTTGTAGACTTTGTTCTTCTAGCATTCTTAAATATACTGTAAAATTAGTTTTTCAAAAATGAACTTAATAAATCAGTACACCTTCCGTACAAGAAATCTTGCTACTATCTCATAAATGAATATCTATTTACTTTCAGTCCAAATGCATATTTTACACTTTCCTCTCATCTGAGTGTAGTGAATTTTTGCTCTTGTTATAATTACGTATAATAATATACATTTTCAATAAAGTAAATTTCTTGTATACATTTACAAATAACTCCACAGTCCGTTGTGAAAATACTTGGTTTGTGAAGAATTGTTGACAAAATTATATATTCCTAATTATCGAAATACACAACGAAAAATTATACTAAGAATTTTCTCACGCTGTCATATGAAATATCGTATAATATTTTATCCACTAACTAAAAATAATATATATATATATATATATATATATATGTAAAACTACAGCAGCATTACGATTATACATTTTTGACAGGTTCATTTGAAATGCTTGTTATTATATTTATTATCTATCACCAGTTCTCGAGTTGGAAAAAATTAAGCAAGTGAACTCAACATAACACAGATTTACAAACTGAGTTCATGGGCAAAATTACCTAACATAGATCCATGGGAAGCTTGATCCTCACCCACCATCTAACCAACAAGGCCGTACAGAAAAAAAACCGTAAAATTGTAAAATAAATTATATCATTAATATCACTTTAACTTCATATTTTAATAAAAATTGTTTTGGGTGTTATTTTTTAGCATCCCCCCATCTCGGTAAAAGAAATTAGTTGGAGTATGGACAGAAAAAAAATGAAAATTAAGGGAGTTCCGGCCCCTCGAGCTTTCCCCCAATTTGAGCATATTCCCTCTTCTAATTGTAAACGTGATTGATACCGAATCGAATAATAATAAATAAAAAATATGAAATTAAATGTTGTCATAAAAATTTCAATAAAATATATTTGACATGACGTGTATTTACTCACATTTTGTATTTTTATTTTTACACTATAACATGATGGGTGGAAATTTATGAGTTATAGAAATTATTCATCATACTCGTTTCAAGGAATAATTTTAAACACACTATTGTATCGTTGTATATTTCGTTTTTATAGTAATACTATAACATACCCGAGTAGAGGAGGATTGTAAAGCGATGTTTACTACCTCAATCAACGATAGCAAATCATATTTTCCTACTTGATTCCTATAATTTTTATTTTAGTTCATTTATAGTAATCTCTACTTTAATGAGATACTTTTAAATCCATTCTTTGAAATATTTCATGTCTGCTACTCCGTTTATTTCTCCCGACTCGTTATCCTTGACATGATTAGATAATGGCTGATTTAATATTAAGTAAGAACTGTCGAAAACTTTAAATTGAAATAAGATATATAAAATAAACGACAACAAAAACGGATTCATCAATTAATTATGAAAATGTTCTCTTCACAAATTACATTTTGGGCTTTGATGAAATCCATGAAATGTTTATTCATTTGAAAACCATGGAAAATCGAATTAAATTGCATTATTTGTCTTATGAAAGTATATATAATTATGTAATTCAATTAATTAGGTTTATTTGTTTTTATTATTTGTGAATATTAATTTATTATTGTGAATATTGATGGAAATGTAGAAATATTGTAATATAAATTAAGTTCAGGCAACCCATAGGTAGAATTCTTTATTCAGATAATATGCGTTGTACATTATATATTTTCAACTGTAAAACTGTAATGTAAATTATATTTTATTTTTGTATTAATTTAGATTTACATAATTATAAAGTAGATGTAACTTCTCTTATCCAAGCGATACAAATTGGTAGTTTCTAATAACTATCATAAAAGGTTTCTTGTCAGCGTGTTAACCATATACCGAACTGTACTCGATAGCGTTTTTTACGAGTACGTTTTCGTATGAAAACACGATTTTAAGATGTCATAAGTAATTTGATTTTCAACCTCGAGGGAATGCGTAGTTACTGCCATTTTCGCAGTAAATTTACGAGAATCAACTTTATGCAGGGAAAAACTACGAAATAATAAAAATTGGATTACGCCCATCTTCATCGGGGAGTATCAAATTATACATCGTTGACCCTCAGAATACAATTACATTGTTTTAAATTTCACTGTTGGTTTAGCTTGTTATCCCCATCTCCCCATCAAAATCGGTTTTCACCTCAAGAGACTACGCATGTATCTCCTGCGGCTTAAGTGGTTTAAAATACGACGATTAAAAGAGGTTCAGTAAATCCTCACACGAAACAAAGCAGGTAAGCGGTTAAAAATATGAGTTTTGAGGCAAACAAAAATATACCAATAATTTAAATACCACCCCCCGAAAAAGAATAAAAATGTTCCAATGTAGCGATAAAATTAAATGTCATTACTTTTTGAGTCGTACATAAAATTATAAAAACAGATAATATGTTGTTTTTATTTTCATCTACTCTATATTCACATTAATTATTCTATCTTACATTAAAAATTAGATTGATATTCGACTTTATTTTTTATATGAAACACAAAAACAAATCATTTTTAAATACAACAAGTAACTAAATTTAATTTTTTAATTTTATTATTTAAATTAAATTTTTCTATTTTCAAAGTTGATCAAAATTTGATTCTATCTAATAGAAGTAAGTAAAAATTTAAAATTATGCATAGTTAGTTTTTACAATTTTTTTATCTTAAACATTAAATTATTGAAAATAGTGTAAAATAATTAACTTTTATTTTAGTATGTGTTATTTTTTTTAATAAAACTAATAACATACTAATTATTATAACAATAATACCAATATGAGTAATAGTTTTAGTAGTAATATATACTACAGAAAACAATTTATTTAATACATTTATCTAATGAATTGTTCAACGTTCAATTTCGACGTTTATATCGCTCCTACACAACTCGTTCGTCCTTTTGTTGAGTCAATTCCTTTGACTTACGTCACATTTAGCGACAAACGATGAGAAATGGCGAGTGACTCGGCGAGTAAAAATAATCGCCATACATGACGATTAAACACCTACTAGACGACTCATAAAGATTAACAATTATTTTCCGAGTACATAAGTCGTGTGGGACCGGCTTAATAACGTCACATGCTACCTGCAGTTTGTCTTTTAAGTCCTGGAGACTGACAGGTGGATCTGCGTATAACAGTTTTTAAAAACTGACTATAAAAAAAAATGTAATGGCATTAAATCTGGGGACTATTCCGCCCAAGGGACAAAACCGTAAGTATCGATCCAGCGTTTTGGCAACATTTGATATAAATATTGTTCAACTACTTAGGATTATGGGTTAGTGCACTATATTTTTGTACATGTTGTCGACATACTTTTGCATGTTTAATGAGACATCACCTAACAGTATTGGTAGTTATTTGATTATAAAATTTAAATATCGTCTAGTAGACGACGTCTACCAATAAGTGTTCCACCATAAAAATACGATCTTACAAGTTTGTCACCGATCGGTACACACTTGTTTATTCCATTAATTTATTTCCCAAACAATTTGAGAATAAGTTTCAGATGACTAGTGTGAGTTTGTTTCATTCCAGTATCGATGATTTAGTTTCCTCATTTTGTCATTGTTGATAAATTTTGATTCATCAGTACAAAGAATTTAATTAATAATTAAATATTCATTTTAAATAAACTATGCTACAATTTTAACCTAATAATAGAATATCCTTCAAGCAAATGTTGTATAAAATCCACTATATATGGGTGTGTTTTGTGTATTTTTAGATTTTTTTGGACAGAACCATATAAAACTTCATCTTTGAAAGCAACTGTTTAATTAATTTGTTACAAATAATTAGTTTATTATTTTTATTAAAAAAATATCACGTAATATAATAAAAATAAAATTATATTATTTGACATAATTGTGTTAATCATTTAGTGCTTCAGGTAAAAAGTTCACAATAAACTAACTATGCATAATTTCAAAAATTAACTATCTCCTATTTGGTAAATTTTAAAAACAGAAAAAATATAGGTTGCCATTAAAAAAAATTAGTTGTATTGTGCATGTCTACAACCCTAAGGGTCAAAAATTCAAAAATTGACAAAATATGTGTGTTTAAGTAATTCAAAATATTTTTTTTAATATAAGGTCATCCGCTGAGATACTTAGTGGTACTTGAAATCATGATCACTATATATTTGTGTGTGTGTGTGTGTGTGTGTTTGTTTATATACTAGTATTGTATAATATTTATATATTTATGATC